AGCAGCAAGCGCAGGCGCACAAGGCTCAGCAAAAAGGTGGACGAAACTCGCCGGAACTGAAGAAGACCTCGCCAAAGTCGAAGGCGCCCAAGTCCAAGTCTCGCAGTGGAAAGGTCAGCGGCGGAGGAAATAGTGGCGGTGGTGGTGGTCGCAGCAGCAGCGGTCTCTCCTGCAGCAAAAGCGTCGGCCCAAAGGGCACTACCACCTCAAAGAGCCCCGGTGGCCACTCCAAACAGCAGTTGCACCAAGCGAAGACCTCGGTGGAAACGGTGGGCAGTGTTCAGAAGACCGGGGGTGGAGGCGGTGGCAACACCATCATCTTCCTCGGCTCACCCAGCGACCCGGCCGCCCTCNGCAGCAAAAGCGTCGGCCCAAAGGGCACTACCACCTCAAAGAGCCCCGGTGGCCACTCCAAACAGCAGCTGCACCAGGCGAAGACCTCGGTGGAAACGGTGGGCAGTGTTCAGAAAACCGGGGGTGGAGGTGGAGGCGGTGGCAACACCATCATCTTCCTCGGCTCACCCAGCGACCCGGCCGCCCTGGAGCTGCTGAAGAATCTGGTGAAGCAGATCAACCCGAGCACGAGTGAGGCAAAACAGCAGCAGCCGCCTCAGCAGCCCACTTCTGCTTCGACGACCACTACCAAAACCACCACCACCACCTCCAGCACCTCCAGTCCTGAAGACCAGACGGTGGTCACCGACCAGACGCAGCTGGAGGAGGTGTACGACGCCATGTACGACCTGGCGAACAACGTCAAGACGATCCACGACTCGTACGAGAAGATCGTCGCCTCGCTGGTCAACCTCCAGCACCGCCGCTCGAAGACGAAGAAGGAGGGCAAAGGAACGGTGGAAAAAGGTGGCACACTTATTCCGGCGGCCACCAAATCGGCCACCAGCGCTTCCNAGACGGTGGTCACCGACCAGACGCAGCTGGAGGAGGTGTACGACGCCATGTACGACCTGGCGAACAACGTCAAGACGATCCACGACTCGTACGAGAAGATCGTCGCCTCGCTGGTCAACCTCCAGCACCGCCGCTCGAAGACGAAGAAGGAGGGCAAAGGAGGAGGGGCGGTGGAAAAAGGTGGCACACTTATTCCGGCGGCCACCAAGTCGGCCACCAGCGCCTCCAGTGATGGCAGTGAGGATGCACCTCCTCCTCCACCTCCTCCACCTCCAACTACTCCCACCGACCCGACGGACATCTCCCGCTTCATGGACGCGCGCACTCGCGCCGACGCCTTCGCCGAGCTCTTCGCCACCGTGGAGACGCTCAAGGAGGCGATGACGCCCTTCAATGGCTGCTTCAACGAGGGCGGCTTCTTCCAGGCGGCCACCTACGCCGCGGAGACCGGCCGCCAGATCACCGTCGGCCAGCGAGCCGCCTGGCTGGTGCAGATTCGCGCCCTCAATGTGACCGTGGAGAAGCTGCTGGCGGAGTACAATCGAGAGGTGCTCGACATGTTTCGCCTGGTGTCCAGCTCCGGTGGCTAGTAGAGCAGAGAAAGAAAGAGCGAGAGAACTCCGCTTCAGCAGGATAAGCACAGTTTAATTAATTATCCTCTTCTTATACCGTTTTATTATCAAATGCTGCTAATTTGAGCATCTTCAACTGCAGCGAACTCTGATACGCGCGTTTTTAAATGCGATGGTAGTGGCGGCAGCAGAGGCCGTTGCTGCGGAGATGAACTTGTTTCGGGGTAATATCACCATTCCCCTTTCGCCTCGCCTGGCTTCACCTGTTTGTTGCTGACCACTGTCGACAACGAACCTGCTTCTTCTCCTCGACGACGACGAATGGCGGCGGCTGCCGCGAAAAAGTCCACGAATTCTCTTTCGCGGGTTACCTTTTTACCGCGCGAGAGAATGAGATTGAACGACGCATGCTCTTGTGGGCAATGTTTTGGCGTCGATTTTCTCTTTCTCCCTCTCGTTTGCGTTTTTCTCGCGTCTCTCTTTCTTGCGGACACCAGTCTCGCTNGTCGACAACGAACCTGCTTCTTCTCCTCGACGACGACGAATGGCGGCGGCTGCCGCGAAAAAGTCCACGAATTCTCTTTCGCGGGTTACCTTTTTACCGCGCGAGAGAATGAGATTGAACGACGCATGCTCTTGTGGGCAATGTTTTGGCGTCGATTTTCTCTTTCTCCCTCTCGTTTGCGTTTTTCTCGCGTCTCTCTTTCTTGCGGACACCAGTCTCGCTCACTCCTGTCCTCACTCCATCGTCAACATCGTCCACTGCGAAAGTTGATCCAACAAAAACAACAAACATCGCTTTACGTTCAACGATTACTGGTCGATTCTTTAAGACCACCGAGCACAACTCGGACTAAGAAAACTATCGCCAAACAGTGCATCTTCACCTTCACGGCGGCACACTTCTGCTTTTGTTGTTTTACCCGTCGAGTCAGGAGAGTTGCTCCCAAGAGTTGAGAGTTGTTGTTGACAACAACAAAACAGCCACGTCAACTTCCTTACCGATATTTGTTGTTGTTGACGGTAGACCACCCCTTCCACCATCAACTTTGACTTATGGGCTGAAGAGTGAATTTCCTTCCCCATTGCCAGTGAGAAGATAGGCAACGGTCTTCTTCTTCTGTTGCCACGATTCCGATTCACGCCTTTACCTCTTCTGAGTTGCCTTACTGCTCAGCATTTATCTTTTGTTTGTTTTTGAATTCTTATGTTGTGATACCTTTCACCATTCATTCTGCTGCACAAGATGTAACAATGCACAATGACAAAACGTAAACGCCACGATTATCTGTGCAGCAGTACTACCACCACTACCGACACCGCCATTACCATAACTAGTGATGACAGGGATGAAACGCCGAATGATCATGAAACTGAAAGGTGAGAAAGATTCTTTTTCTTTACCCCAAACTTGCATCTAACTAATGAACATTCTTAGGGAGAAAGTTGTTGACGAGAAGGAGCAATGTGTAAAAGAGGAAGATTCGGTTGCAAAGAAAACCAAAGAGGAATGTCAACAACCAGAACAAGAGGACAAAAGCGAAGTTGTCGACCCTCTGCCTGAGAATGTGAATCTCACAAACGATCAACGTAAGGAGACTGTCACCTCTGCAATTGAGAGTAGCAACACCGCCACCATCACCACCACCAAACCCGACAACTTTGCCATTCGGCGAAAGTCCAATCGCATTTTGAGCCTTAAAAGGTATCACCTCAGCAATGTCGGCTGCTCTTCGAGCTCGTCTGAGGAGCAAACTCCTGCTCAACCGAAGCTCAACAGTGAAACAGCACAATCATCTCAGGCTACCTCAACGACTTCCTCTTCTGATGCCTCAGGTTCAACAGCTGCTGCTGCACCTTCATCATCCATCTCTACAACTTCATCCGGCAATGCTCAGCAGAGCAAGGGGGCTCCTCGCAAGGTTCAAGTGTGGACTGCCGATGACACGAGATGGTTCTTTGAGGCACTCTGTGAGGTAAGATAATGCTTTTTTCCTTGCTTATATCATTTACTACATCTTTGCACACTACAACTTTAGCACGGAAAGGACTTTCCGCACATTGTGTCGTACATTGCCGCTCGGTGCGAGAAGAAGGGCATTCCCGCCGAGTCGATCAAGAACTACGAACAGGTCCGCCACTACTACTACCGAATGTGGCACAAGATCTCACAGATGCTGAAGATTTCAAACGGTATTAAACAGCTTTTCATCATTAGGTTGCTTAACGGTTTGTGTTTGCAGAAGTCGAAAAGGGCGTTCAGGAGCTCTACGGGCTGATAAACTACGGCGAGCTGTGGAAGAAGTTTGGCAGCAAGTTCGACCTTCGCCTCAGCGCCAGCCTGCAGCAGCTGGTCGACGTCGGCTACACCGTCTTCAAGATGAAGGGCAAGTCGGTTCGCGTGCGGACGCCCGTGTGCAATGCCTTGAAGCGGATTCACAACATTGACAGTAAGTTGTGACTAGTTTTCGAATAGCTCTTATTAAACCCTTTTTCTGCCCTGCTGTAGGCAAAGCTGCGAGCAAGCCGGCGATGCAACCGATTCCGAAGGAGATTGAGGTGGAGCTGCTGCCGGCGACAAATGCCGACTGGATGCGCGTCCACTCGCTGGCGCAGAATCCTCGCCTTCGGACGAGGCTGAGCATGCAGCATCGGCTCACCACCCTGATCTCCTATCTGGAACGTCGCTGGAGTCTAACTCGAGTCACCCGGAATGCCGCTAATCTGCAGTCCCTCACTACCACCGCCGCCGCCGCCGCCGATGATGATGCCTTAACTTCTGCGGCGGTGGAGGAGGGGGAGGGAGCTTTACCTACGAATTCATCTGTGATAGAGAAGGGAGCGGCAAATGCATCTGCTGAAACAGCAGAAGCCGAAAGCAGCGGCTCTAAAAGCACCAAAAAGACGGCCAGTCCCTTTGGCATTCGCCTGCTGCCCACCAGCTCTGAGAAGCTGATTGAGCGGCTGCAGCTGAAGAGCACCAACCACTCGATCTCAGTCAGCAACTTTCGCTCCACTACGAACACTAATGCTCAAACTGATCTCTCACTCTCGGCGTACCTGAAGAATCTGTACGCTGAGGGTAACAATGCTGATGGTAGTGGAGGTGGCGCAAACAGTGCTGCTGGCAACGATGCCAAGGGAAAGGGGCAATTCAAGATGAGAAAGTACTCGAGAAAGGCGGCGGCTACTACTACTGCCCCGCAAACGGCGGCAGATACAAATACCGCTGCTGCCAAAGAGGATGAAAGTAAGTGGCTGTCATTGCAGTGTTTGAAATTCAGCTAATAATTTTACAATTTTTTTAGATAAATCAGAGCAGAAAGACAGCTCTGAATCAAAAGACGAAGATGAGCCACCTGGAGGGGGAGAGAATCAGGTGCTGAATCTCTTCAAGATGCTCGACTCAATGAACGCCGAACTGGCGATGCCGCTCAAGGCGAGCAAAGCTATTGGTGGTGGTGGTGGCAGCAACAGCAACAATAGCAGTCCGGAAAAGTCAAGTCCAGAGAAGCCAAAGGACAACCTGCCAAGCACCAGCAGAAGCGAGCAGCTTTCTCCAAGTGATAACTTTCTGCAGCTCTTTCACCCACCGGATCACACTACTCTGGGCCAGTGGCTCGCCGGAGAGAAGGGCGATGAAATGGAGGAAAATGATGCAACCTCTGCTTCTGGCCAGGCGCACTCCAGCAGCACTTCACCACCAGAGACAGCCAAGTCGGGCGGCGGCGGCAAATCTCGCCGCCGTGGATCGCTGGACAGCAGCGAGTTTACAGTGCTGACGGCCAACGAGGCGCGACAGGGCTGGACGCTGAAGGAGGCTGAGTCGATCAGCATTGGCGAGCTGTACCTGCTCTTCTCGCGTCCGGCTAAGCTCGTTCTCGAGTACTCATGGGAAGAGTTGAAGGAAGAGGGTGAGCTAAAGAAGGATGCCGAGGAAGATGAACAGCAAAAGGCAACAGAAAACAGCGACAAACACTCAACTACCACCGACATGCTTCAGAAGCTGCTCATCGCCGCCAACATCTCACTGGCAAAGCTAAAGAAGCCGGTTAACTCTTTGGCGCAGATTAGTGCAAACGCCCTAGCCTCCGCCTCATCCAGTGGACAGACATCGGGGACAAGTGCTGGTGGTAGTAACAAAGGAAGCAGAAAACGACCGGCCAAGACACAGCTGTCACCACCCACTATCACCACAACCACCACTCCTCAGTCGTCCCTGCTGCTGTCGAATTTAATTCATGATACCATTCTGATGGACTGCAACAGCAAGGACGCGCCTGTCTTGCTGGCCCCCACCGCCAACATTGTCACCCTTGATAACTCCACTGTGATTGGCGCCGGTCAACAGCAGCCGCAACAGCAGCAACTCATTGCTCTACCTTCAAATAGCTTTTCAGCCGAGCAGTTTGTCGCTCCGAAGCGACCAGCTCCTCGAACTACATCATTCTCCTCGAGCCAATCTGCAGCAGGATCATCAGCTGCAACAACAACACTGCCGCCCAAGCCAACCGGCGGCAGACTCCGCAACAACCTGACCATCCTCGATGATCCCTCCAAGGTGGAGGTAGCCCTGAGCTCGCTGAAGGACGGCAGCAAGCTGCGACAGCGGCGGTTCATGCACAATCTGCAGAGCAAGGTGCTCGGCACGAGCAGCAGCTCGCCGAACAAGCTGCCGCCCATCAGTGGAATGGAGCGGAACAACAGCATCATCAGCTCCTCTCTCAGCAACGCAAAGCCCAAACAGCCGACATTTGCTGGGACAACCATTTGCTTGACAGGCTACCCAGCACCAGCACCACCACCACCACCAAAGCCGATACTACTTACTACTACTACCACTACTGACCTGCTCTCTTCCAATCAGCAACTACCTCAAGAGCCACCATCGACGCAGCTCACTGGCACACTGGCCGGATGCAATGCACCGACGTCCATTGTGGTGCCCTTTATGACTGCAAATGCAACGGACAGTTTACCAATCCAGCCACTGCAATCGACAGTTTGCCCTCAAGTGCCTTCCATCGTAATATCGCCGCCCACTGCTGAAGCTACTACCACCAACACCGCCTTCTCTGCCATCAGCGCAGTTTCGATCTCATCGGTATCTAGCGAGGCTAGTCCGGCGGTGCAAATTCAACCCCTCAACAGCATAAACTCCAGTAACTTTGTGCAATTTGTAAATACCAATACCAGTGCTATCAGTACTAGCAGCTCTTCCAAGCTGTCCGCTGAGCCGAGTGATCAGTCTCTACTATCAGTCTCCAAGCTGCCACTAAGTGGCCCCTCGGTGGTGTCCTTGTCCGAAGAGCTGTCAGGCAACAACAACTCACAGTTTTCCTGGTTCAATGAACACAACACCGACTCGATGAGTTCCCTCTTGGCAGCCTGTGATATCGTCGTCGCCAATGAGGAACTGCAGCGGACAACGACGGCGACAGGCGTCGAAAGTGTCGGACTGTCGCTGTCCAATTCAGAGGTAAGTGTATTGTGGTGATTCCTGGAATCTTTAAGTCAACTAATTCTGTTTTCATCCACAGTTTGATAATCACGTAAATGCCATGGTGAACGATAACTCGGTGGATCTAATGGCAAAGTTTGCCGACCTAGCGGCGCACATTTCCGCCGACTCCCGGCACGCTTTATAACCAAACAGCCCTGGCTTCCCTAATCACTTCTCTTTTGACACTTGTTTACCTATGCCACACACTTTATTTGCATTTCGCCTACACTCTCTTTGCTGATGAGCACTCTGATTGTGTGCATAGCTGACAGTATAAAAAATAAATAAAGGATAAATAAATGAAAACTTATTTACAAATTGGAAAGCAAGCAAGGACTCACTCTGAGAGAGCTTTAANCAGTATAAAAAATAAATAAAGGATAAATAAATGAAAACTTATTTACAAATTGGAAAGCAGGCAAGCAAGCAAGGACTCACTCTGAGAGAGCTTTAGGAGTTTTCATTCTCCTTGGCGCCGCATTTGAGACAGGTGTAGAAGATAGTCTGGCCCTCGTCGGCGGAGCGCGTCTGCAGCGTCGCAAAAGACTGCTTGTCGTGGCCACATCGGGCGCACAGTCGCTCCACCACCGGTCCCTCGGCGTCGATGGCCTTCCGCTTCCTCGCCACCAGCTCCCGTTCGTTGAAGTGCACCCGCGTGAAGGTGCTCAGGCCGTTGAAGGTGCTCGCCTCCACCTGCAGATTGCAGATGGGGCAGAGCACAAAACGGCTCTCGTCGAGGTAGGAGGGCAGCGGCAGCACCGAGCCACACCGGTCGCAAAAGTCCACCTGTTCGCTGGTGTCGATGACGTTGCTGGAGAGGCTGGTGTCCATTGGAGTGTTTGAAGTG